TCTCAATTACCTCCTGAGCATCAGAGAGCTGTTTCCGAAGTAGGGCTATCTCAGCATTTTGAGATTCTACAAGCCTAGTCATTCTCTTGGCATATCGACGAGTTGGCGATGCAGGAGAACCACTGCTTGCTAGAGCTGTATTAAAGATCTGATTTGCTTGCCTTAGTTCTGTTCCATCTGGAGGAGAACTCCTGAGTATAGACAAGTCTAGGTCTTGATTGGGGGTTCTCATTTGTGGAGTAGAAGGTTGCTGGGAGGAGTTAAATGGTAATGAATCGAGTACTTTTCGTGGGGCAAAAGGTACTAAACCAGCTCCTCTCCAGCCAGCTTTAATATTAGAAGAATTCAATGCTTTTTTTCTAATATTTTGAAAGAGTTCTACCCATTCAGCTCTTTGGATTCGCTTTACACCAGCTCGAGAATATCGATCGACCTCTAAAGCATGATATCGTTTCATTGGCCCATACACCGCAATATCAAGTGGCTGAAGCAAGTGAGAGCAATGAGGAGGTAATATAAGTAAATCAATATCATTATCTATACAGAAAGCAATAAAGCTACCTGTAATATGGCTTGAATGGCCATCCATGATCAAAAGTCGAGGTCGGTCACCTGACACTTTCTTGGATTCTGGTTCGAAAACCCTTTTTAACCATTCTAATCCATGGCTATTTGAGGTCCATCCATTTGTACTAGTAGAGAACTGCCAGCTTTGAGGTGTGTCCTTTGGAATCCATGCAGAATTCGTATTCTGAGCCTTGAAAATGACCATAGGTGATAGAGCATTTCCAGCTGCATTGACACATTCAAATGCAGTTATCCATTCTTGCTTGCCAGCTGTAACTTTCCAATTCGATTTCTGAGTAGAATCGACTATAATGCGCGTACTTTGAGTACTTCCAACTCCAAATCCGGTTTCATCCATATTATACATATCATCTAATTCATACTTTCGCTCAATGAGACGCGTGCGAAACGCGTCAAACCAAGCCTGAATATTCTCCGGAGTTGCTTCTTTAGCCCGATTAGACTCTAATTGACGTGAATAGCATGTTTTAAGTTCTGGATGTCGTTTTTGGAATCTATAGATCCATTCGTGGCCTATAGGTGGAATTTCTGTCGAGGTAGGATTTCGAGATGACGCGACCCGAACGCGTCGAAGACGAATTTCGTCGGCCATTTCCTTCACCAACATAGGTGTAGCAGGGAATCCAGTGATGGTAAGTCGTGAAATCCATCGTACAAGAGTATTTTCTTCTGCGTTTGAAAGAATTTGAGCCATTTCGTGGGTTTGGGAACGTGTTTTCTTCCCAGCCAGCCTATCAGCTAGGGTAGACTTAGGGACTTCAAAATGCTCTGCAGCCTTTCTAATTGATTTAAATTCTTTCAATTGAAGTGAAATTATAGCCTTTTGAAGCTTCTCTTCAATTTGAGCAGATGTAGAAGGTGATTGGGTATGCATAATAAAAGTTATTGCGGTTTCAAGTTGGTGATGGGCTAAAAGTGTCCGAGTTCCCCATATGTCCGAGTTCCCCATACGTTACGTTATAAAAGAAAAGAATTAACCTTAGAATTAATTTTATAAAGAATTCATTAAATTAATATAAATAACAAAATTAATATAATTTAAACAATCTATTAAGGGTATATAAAAAATATAATCAATATAAATAATACAAAATATATTATAAAAGAATAGAAGAATAACTTTATTAAAAGCTAATAAAATTAAACTAATTATTTTATTAGCTATTATATAAAGTAGAAATAAGAAAAAAACCCTTTTAAATTTATCCAAAAACCCTTAGTTTTTACAACTATTAATTCTTTAAATTATAATTTCTATATTAATAATCTTTTTTATAAACAAAAACATTGATTATATTGAATTTGAGGAATAAGTATTAAATTTAGTATTCTATTTTCTAAATAATAATGAATTTAATAATATTAAATATACAAACTGCTTTATAACATCTACTAATAATTCGATATTAATGATTTTCATTGAATTAAAATGAAAGGAGATTAATGATTTAATAGAAAATAGTGTTTTTTTAATTTATAAAGATTACAAATATATCTGAAAACATGAGAATATTTAACTTATAATTTATTAATGAAATGAAAAATGAGGGAACTAATAAAACATTCTTAAAATCTCGATTAATAATATAAATATAAAAGAATTAAGGAAAAAGTACTGTTTTAATATAGTTATTTATAATACAACAAATTAGTTAATAAATAATGCTATTAATAATAATTATACTTTTAAAGAGTAAGATAATTATAAGTATTTATAATATTATATAAATATATATATAGTTAATATTGAATTTAGTTCAAAGGTTTTATATATAATCACCAGTAGAGATAAACATTTTAAAAGGTTTTATTCTATAAGTAATATGATTATTATATAACATTTCAAAAGTAGACAACCATTGATTTAATACTTATTATAAGTATTATATTAATGTCCTTAAAATAATATAATCGATTTATAACCCATATCTTCTATATATAATTAAGAATGATATAATATTTAATATTATAGAATTATAAATAGATAATACATTTATTATTACTAATAACGAATTTATAGATTATAAATAAAGAGAACTTTATAATACTAAGTTTATAGTGAAAAAAGTATAAAATACTTATATTAGATATATTATTTAAGTTTAATAAAAAATTAATTATTTAATAAGATGATAGTACAATTTACCTTAATTAGAAAAATTAATATAAAAATCTATATCTAATTAAATAAGAATTCTTTAATATGTAAGAAATATACAGAAAATTGAAAAAAGCTGCAACAATAAAGGATCAATATATTATATAATATGCTTGAGAAGTATATATCATAATAATATGTTAATTAGAAATAACTTTTAATTTATCATATACTATACAAATTATTAATCCTAAGGGAAAAGATGTTGATTCTTTTAATAAGTATATTCAATAATAGATTAATAATTTGGAAAAAGATCTATAATTTATTTCACTCAATATGAATTCTTTAAAACTAATTGTATTTATTAATATATTCTTTATCAACAACAAAGATTTGTCCTTTTAGATTGAATATATTATTATTTTAATAAACAAATATAATAAAATTAATATTATTTATTAATCATTCATTAAATATAAAAAAATTATTAAAAGTATATTAACATTAGAACTCTATATTATAATTTTAGGCTTTGATATTAGCATAGTAATCAAAAGCATGATTAACAAGATCTTCTCGAACTATAAAATCCTATTAATTATATATATCAACTTTAAATCATTTTATGACTATCTTATAAAACTTAGAATTACTAATAAAAAGAAACTAATAATTAATGTAATAACAATTCAAAAGGTATATAAAAAACAAGAGATTATAAAGATCAAATAAATTAATAAAGATTTTAATTTTATAAATACAATAACTAAATCCAAGCTATATCAAGCCCTAAAAGATTTGATTAATAATAATACTATAAAGATTAAGATTATAAAGTAGGTTGAAAGAAATTAAAAGGATGGGTAGTTATATAGGCAAAAGAGATATTAACTAGAAGGATACAATTCAATAACTTTAAAAAGTTATTAGTATTAGGATAAGAATTATATAACTACACTAGCATTAATATTAGTGTTTTTTGACACTATAGTAATATGTTTTATAGCCCTAGCTTTTAGAATCTTAAGTAATATAACAATAGTATGAACTATAGTACTATATTGACTTTACCATCCCCATGATAATACCAACAATAACGAATTGAAAATAATATTATTAATTTTATTATTATATTCTATATATTAACTTCAACCATTTAATTACAACTTTTTCCTTTCACTTTTAATGAATTATAGTATAATATAGAATGATTTATTATATAAAAGTAAAGGATTATCTGGAATCATAAAACAAAACTTCTAAATCATATTCAAAAGAATTTAAATTCAAACTTATATAATATATAATATACTCTTTTCCTTCAAAAAAATAAACATTTATTCTATATATAAAGAAGCTATTATTACTAATATTATATCTAAATCTTCCTCTACACCACCTACATTAATATAATTATATAAAAGTAAATTTAAAACTTTATATAATATAAAAGCTTTTTGTAAGCTCAAATTAAAGTTTTAACATTAAAATAACCCCAATATCACTTTGAAGCTTTTTAAGGTTACTTTCACCAATATAATTTAAGCTAGTATTTAATTGTATAAAGTAAAAAGGTTAGAAAAGATTGTGAAAATAGAAAAGAAGAAAAGGAATTAATTTAAAAGATTAAATCTAATAGAAAAAAAGATAAATAAGATATATTTATACTTTTCCAATATTATTTTAAAAGTTAAAATATATTAATCTATTAAAGAGCTTGTTATATAATAGAACAAAAAAACTAAAAAGTTAAAGAAAATTGAAAAAAAAGTTGAAAAGTAGAAGAAGTATTTAAAGGTATAAAAAAGAGTTAGATAAAGGAAAATTAATTATCAAATTCTATAGGGTTTTAAAAAGTATAGTAAAAAAGTTTTTAAAATATTAAATTCATTTATTAAAAAGATTAAAAGTATCTCAAAACTTTTTCCTATATTAAATCTAATGTCTTAAGAAGCTAAGAAGCTATAAAGCTTTCAGATAATAGGGAAGTTAATATTTTAATAAATAAGAAAGAAAAGATGAAAACTAGAATTAAGAATAAACAAGCAATCACAATATTAATAAGGTTTAAAACCTAATAATTTTATAATTCTATATGAAAATACTATATTATATTATAAATACTTAAAAGTTTTAATCTATTATCTTATAAATTTTAATTATTATTAAATATTGAAGTTATAGTAGTAGTGAATTTGAGGTTATGTAAGATGTGGGGTTGTGTAAGATGTAGGGATATCGGTTACTCATTTCCTATTCTCTCATTCCATTGTTATCAGTTCTCACGTGAAGATTAATTTAGGCGAAACCTTTGGAAATCAAGCTGTCACTTCCATGTGCAGTCGCAACATCAACCTTTACTGCCTCCTAAATATACAGAACCTACGAGGTATTCAATAATCCAAACAACAAGAGCGCATATTCGATCACAATAAACATACATACAATACAGTAAATGAACATGGATTTCTCCAAGTTCCAAGCCTTTGGCAAGAACGTCTCGTAAGTGTTGAGTTCTTTGCTCCCTTTCTTCCAGATATATGTCGTTGTGGTTTATTTACACCGAAACTAATCTAATACCTCAATCCGTAGAGCCTCATTCACACCCTTCGCAGCTCGAACCCAACAATATGTTAAAGAGAGATTGGGTCAATCTGATGATAAGGTGATTCGATTCAATCATGCGCTGTGAAGGGAACGAAAGAAAATCGTGAATTAATGCTAAATGTTATGTTATGATAGACACAACTCCCTCCCGATTATATTGAGTTGGAGAAAAGGGTCGATGCGTTGAAGAAGGTGCATCAGAAGATGCTGTCCGTTACTTCGAATTTCTCCCATGAAGGCTATGATTACCCGCAAAATTTGTCGGAATCGGTAGGTTCTTTTCTATCTATACGTTCAATATACAATTCAAGAATAGCAAATGAAGCTCCGCTGGCTCTCCGGAGTCCGCTGCCGCCGAGAGTTACTATTTGGGGGCAGTGTTCGAGCGCAGCGAATTACGGGGGATGGGTGGCTTGCCCGCATGATGATAGCATCATCAATCATTTCCCAAAGCTATGATTATGATACATTTGCTAATCTATTATTCAACAATAGTTCAACGATCTCGGCCGTACTGTTTCCGAAAAAGTTCAACTCCTCTCCTCTGCTACCTCCCCAGCCGAAGCTCAAGCTGCTCTTACAGCCCCTCCATCCGCAAAACCACAACCCAAAACCTTCAATCATGCTATTGCTCGCGCAGCCTTGGCATCTAGCCAAATTCTTCAACAACAAAATTCCTCTGGAAATGAAGATCCTTTAGCTACTGCCCTTGAGAAATATGCTCTTGCAGAAGAACGTGTTGGAGAAGCAAGACTTGCACAAGATAGCCAAATTCAGAGTCGTTTCCTCGCAGGTTGGTCCACAACATTGAATACTAATTTGATGTTTGCGACTCGTGCTAGAAAAAGTGTGGAGAATTCGAGATTATTGCTTGATGCCGCAAAGGCAAAGGCTAAGAATCCCGGATGGCATTTACCTGGCCAAGCAGCTCCTCAACATGATGGTCATGAAGATGAGATTCAGAGTGAGGAAGCTAGAGTTGAAATTGAACAAGCTGAGGATGAATTTGTTGGACAAACTGAAGAAGCTGTTGGTGTTATGAAAAATGTAAGTTGTTTTTTGGTGGTGCATTTTATGGGGATCTGACTAATGCGTTAATTCAGGTCCTCGATACCCCTGAACCACTCCGAAACCTTGCTGATCTTATCGCCGCTCAACTCGAATACCATAAGAAGGCATATGAAATTCTTAGTGAACTTGCCCCCGTTGTTGACGGTCTCCAAGTTGAACAAGAAGTGAGACGTTCCGAGGCATTTTCCGCCTAATCCTTTTCTTTTTTTCTCTTGACTTCTAGAATCCTAGAGGCGTGTAGCTTTATATTGTTGGAATATCACAGTTCAGTTAGCTGATGAGGTGTCTTCTACGCAGGCCAGCTACCGAAAGAGTCGTGATGGTGGAAGTGCTTAATCACCATCTAAAAATATTGATACCAAAATGATACTCAATTCGAGATCAAAGAATGAAGTGATAAGAAAATGGGAGATTTTGAGATGTGATGCGACGCGATACGTTAAGGAATCTTTTTTCTGACTGCTTTTTTTCTTCTGGCGATTGTAGGAAACTCAGGATTCGTTCGCTTCGACTAGGACTGGGAGTGAGGTTGGGTGGTAGAGAGAATTTTCTTTGGGGGTATGTAGGCAACCAACATCGGTTAGGATGATACGAGTATAACGGTGGATGGTTCTTTTACGTTTGGGGGAGATGTGCGAGAGTGCATGCGTAGTGTTAGTACTTGGTAACTGGACGCCTGTCTTGTGCGAACTACACTGTTGGCGTGGCTTTGGAAGGGCGCAGGTAGCTTTTTTCTTCAATTTTATGTAGAGGGGATGAGGATGGGGATGGTTGAGGGTGGAGATGAATGAAAGTGGGAGATAGACAGACTGATACCTAGGTAGGCGTCAATTCAAGTATTGATATTATATTCTGTGACAGGTCGTTGAATGAATTAGACGGGGAAATTGTATGCTGTAAAATGTATCCTAGAGGAGCGGGATGTTTATTTGGTAGGCTGAGTTGGTTTGGGACTTACGATAAACATAAATATGGATACGGAAACTATTTTATGGGTGTATGACAGTGTGTGGTGGACCATTGGCTTGTGTGAAATAGGAATCAGAGTTTTCTAGGCTATGGTTTCTGGACTATGGGTGCAAGATTGGACGGGATCAAAGATGTGATATTCATCATATGATTGTGCATGAGTGTGCTTGTTATAAGTGTAGGTGTATTTTAGTCATGGTATGCGAGATGGGGAAGAGGCAGTGTGATGATTAGATGGCGCAAGGTTCAAGTCTATGGAACGGGTCGAGAAGAGAGAAGTGAACACTGGAAGGAAGAGACTTACATGTATCGTGATGTATATCAGTTATGTGAGACTGAGACCTGGGTAGGCATGGGAATGAGTTTCAAGTATTCAGGGGTTATCAAAAGGAAGGGGAAGAAACGCCAGAGAAGCTTAGTAAGTACTAGGTATATCATCATTGGAAATCCATTGGCATCTTGCCCGATGATGAATAAGGCGCAGAAGTGTAGAAATTTGTTGCACGTCTGTAAACCGAAATTACGAGGTGCACCCCAACAAGACTTCCAGATAGCCTCCTCTTGTTTCCCCGGCAATGGAAAGAACTAATACTGATCTACTGGCGATTTTCCCCATTACCCTCCAATCGAACTACTCAGAGATCGATGTTGCATATCTGTGAATTGGAATTACGAGGTGCACCCCAACATGATTTTTGAATAACCTCCTCCCGATTCCTTTGCTATAAAAGAGCTAGCATTAATGGACTAGCTTGTACTCCTATCTTCCTCGATGCTGTCCAATCATGCTACTTAGAGATTTATGTTGCACATCTGAGTCTTCGTTTTTGTAAGGAGATCCCAACAATTACAAGAATTGAGAGAGCTTTAGTATTATAAGCTATATCCATATCTGTTGGTATCACCATGGGGATGGTGAAGTCAATATAGTACTATGGTTTATACTATTGTTATATTGCTTGAAGTTCTAAAAGCTAAAACTATGAAATATATTGTTGTAATATTGGAAGATGTTAGTATTAATATTAGTATAATTATATAATCTTTGTTTTAATATTGATAACTTTTTAAAGTTGTTAGATTGTATTCTTTTAGTTAATATCTTTTTTATTTGTATAATTATTTGTCTTTTTAATCTTTTTTAATTTATTTTGTAATCTTAATTTTTATAGTATTATTGTTAATCAGATTTTTTAGAGCTTGATATGGCTTGAATTTAATCATTGTATTTATAAGATTAGAATCTTTATTAATCTATTTAATCTATTTAATCTTTATAATCTTTATAATCTTTCATTTCTTATATACCTTTTAAATCGTTATTATATTAATTATTAATCTCTTTTTGTTAATAATTTCGAGTTTTGTAAGACAATTGTAAAATGATTTAAAATCGATATATATAATTAATGGGATTTTATAGTTCAAGAAGATCTTATTAATTGTGTTTTTGATTATTATGCTTATATTAAAGCTTAAAACTATAGTATAGAGTTCTAATGCTAATATATTTTTAATAACTTTTTTATATTTAATAAATAATTAATGAATAATGTTAACTTTGTTATATTTATTTATTAAAACAATAATATATTTAATCTGAAAGGATAAATCTTTATTGTTGGTAAAGAATTGTTACGGGAGCTGCCTCTAGGGTCACGTGGAAGTGTCTAGAGATCTCTCGAGGTGGTTTAGACTAGACTTCAAGTAGGAATTCAATAAGGTTGTAACTGGTTGCAATTCTCGTAACTATAGTAATGAAACTAATGATTGTTCTTGAGCACGAAGCTCTACATGTAAGGAAACCCTTTCCCTTATATAGACCTTTGCACTCTGCGATCCCATCGATCCCACTCACTGAGAGTAGTGGGCGTAGTGGGATCCCACTGATCCCATTGATAATAATCGGTGGGACTGATGGGATGGTCCATCACGTGATACTAGTCCCGTGAGTCTTGTCGTCCTGTCTTATTTCCTGTCCTAGGGCTAATCCCTTGGGAGCTTACTAATCCTAGCAAGACCTCTCTTGCTTACTGTGTCCTGTATTGCTTATTCTTCTTAGGACCCTACTGTCCTAGGAACCATGTCCTATGATTCAGTGTATTCTATAACTAATACTATATACATGCCTGAGGCTTTCCTTGGGTGCCTAGTGTCCCCCGGTATACTGCAGCTGAATCACTGAGGCCTATAATACCATTATAGCCTATAAGTCAGTGATTCTACAGCCTGTTACTAATCCGTTGTAACACTTTACTACAATGAAGGTTTTGAATGAATAATAAGTTCACTAGTCTGAATTCCTTTTTTATTATAATTTCTATATAGTCTATTGATTAGGATCTAAGACTATTCAACCAGACATTTTAAACCGAAAGAAAGAGAATAAATCAAACTTTATAATTAGAAATAATAAACATTTAAAAAACAAAAAGTATATAATTTTATTAGTAAACAAATTCGATATTGACCTTTATAATGAATTGAAAGCTAGTATTACAACGGATTAGTAACAGGCTGTAGAATCACTGATTTATAGGCTATAATAATATTATAGACCTTAGTGATTCAGCTGTAATATACTAAGGGACATTAGGCATTTAAGAGACACCTCAGACATGTATATAGTATTAATCATAAAATACCCTAAAAACCTAGAACATAGTTCCCAGAACAGTAGATCCTAGGAAAGACAGAATATAATAAGTAAGAAGGCTTTACTAGGATTAGTAATATCCTAGGGGATTAAGCTTCAGGATAAAAGGATAAGTTAGGATAATAGGAATTATGAGATAAATGTTATATAATCAAAAGCTAATCAACTTATTGATCGATTTATCAATCAACTTGTCGATTGACTTTAATACAAAGGTTTATATAGGGAATGGGTTTTATTATAATGTAGAGCTTTATGCTTAAGAATAATTATTAGTTTTATTATTATAGTTATAAGAATTGTAATAATTATAATCTTATTGAATTCCTATTTGAAGTTTAATCTAAATCATCTCGAGAGATCTCTAGACACTTCCACGTAACTCTAGAGGCAGCTCCCGTAACAGCTAGTATTCATTTAGTATTAATAGATTTTATAGTATTTATAAAAGATAAACTAATCAATGAATTAATTGATAATGTTTATAAAAGATCAAATATAACTCATCAACTTATTATAGCAATCAAGGATCAGTATGTATGTAAATGATTAGTAAAATTTAGAAAAATATTTCAAATTATTATATAGTAAATAATAGAATATATTATCGAAAAAGATTATAAATTCTATTAGATAATAAATTAAAAATATAAATCATTTATAAAATGTATTCATTTAACTTAACTAAATATTTAAATCGAATTAAAACAATCAACTTTGTCTTTTATATATATTAGTAACTATAAATATATGTTACGACGGCATCCAACATACCGCGTCACATGACATAAATTACACGTGATGGAGCGTCAAGGAGCTTCAGCGATCCTTAACGATCCAACATATCGAAGAGATCCTAGGGATTAGGATAAAGAATGAAGGTCTATATAAGGGAATGGGTTTTATTATAATACAGAGCTTCATGCTCAAGAACAATCATTAGTTTCATTACTATAGTTACGAGAATTACAACCAATTATAACCTTATTGAACTCCTACTTGAAGTTTAATCTAAACCACCTCAAGAGATCTCTAGACACTTCCACATGACCCTAGAGGCAGCTCCCGTAACAATATATTAGGAAATTATTTTATATATATAAGTATACAATCTTTATATGTATATAAAGTTATTAAGATTAATCCCATCCGGATTCTTATGTTTATTATTAATTCTTTTTCGAGTTTAATTTAATATATTGTTACGGGAGCTGCCTCTAGGGTCACGTGGAAGTGTCTAGAGATCTCTCGAGGTGGTTTAGACTAGACTTCAAGTAGGAATTCAATAAGGTTGTAACTGGTTGCAATTCTCGTAACTATAGTAATGAAACTAATGATTGTTCTTGAGCACGAAGCTCTACATTGTAATGAAATCTGTTCTCTTATATAGACCTTCCTGCTCTGCAGAACCTACAGTTCTGTCTTGTCTGGATCCTCTGGATCCTATGGATCTAGATGTTTATTCTTCGATCCCCTAGATCCTCTAGGTCCATCACGTGACTTCCTGATCATGTGACGCGGTATATTGGATGCCGTCGTAACAAGAATATATTAATGAATATAATCAGTTTTAAAAAATCTATATCGAATGGGACAAATTATAGGCCTTTCTTCAAATTGTCAATCTGTTATTAAATACATTTATTAAAAGAATTAGTATCTTTTTTCTTAAAATTGATAATTTATATAATATAAAATAAATCAAAAGCTGCCTCTAATTAATATATTATTATAATATATACTCCTCAAGTATATTATATAATATATTGATCCTTTATTATTATAGATTTTCTTAGTTTTCCATATATTCCTTATATATTGAATAATTCTAATTTAATTAGGTATAAGTTTTTACATTGATTTTTCTAATTAAGGTAAATCATATTATTATTTCATTAAGTAATTAATTTGCTATTAAATTTAAATAATATATTTAATATAAGTATCTTATACTCTTTTACTATAAATTTAGTATTATAGAATTCTTTTTATTTATAATTTACAAATTTGTTATTAATAATAATAAATATATTATTTATTTATAGTTTTATAATATTAAATATTGTATTGTTTTTGATTGTATATAGAAGATATAGGTTGTAAGTTAATTATATTATTTTGAGGGTATTGATATAATGTTTGTAGTAAATACTAAATTAATAATTGTTTGTTTTTAAAATGCTATATAATAATTGTATTACTTATAGAATAAAATCTTTTAGGATATTCATCTTTATTGGTAATTGTATATAAAACCTTTGAACTAAATTCAA